CACAGACACAGACACAGACACAGCCACAGCCACAGCCACAGCCACAGCCACAGCCACAGCCACCCACCCACCCACGCACGCACGCACGCACGCACGCACGCACGCACAAACACAAAAGCGAAACCCAGGCTCCAGACATTGCTGGTGTTCAGCCGTGCCAAACATGACACCAGGAGGTACGCCTGCACGTCGGACTAAGGCTCAATCCGCATCAGTGCATCCAGAAACAGAACGTTTGATCCTGAGCCCCCACCCCCACGAAGATTGGGAGGGGAAAAACACTTCAATCCTCCTGAGCCTGTACCCCGTTCCCGAGCCCTTCTATCAAATTACTCCGAATCCTTTGCTGTTGCGACTCACTCTCTCCACTCCGACAGTCGAACCTGGCAAGACTTGGCAATCATTAAGTTAAGGTAAAAGCCCGAAAAACAGCTATTTGCACACCCGTTTGCTACAACCTTTCAATCCAAGTCTGGATAAATCTGTAAGCGTCATATAAGCGCCATAGAAAACCCGGTGTGAGATCTGGAGCCTCATTGGCGCTGAAGCCGAAGAGTCGGCTCTCCACCTAGGCCCCCCGAGTCTCCTTAAAACTCTATTAGGAGCCCCAACATGATTCAAGGTACTATCAAGGGGTTTTGGAGAATCTTCGTTCTTGACCTTATAACCCCTAAATCCCTTCTAAACTCTTGCCATGTAGGGGCCTAATCAGAACAGGACCCTGGGATACGTGAAAATGTATTTTGAAAACTACACAGGCCTAAATACGATACTATGAAACCCTATAAAACTGTGGAGCCCTGGACCTGAATGCTCTAAACCTTGACCTCAGGGACTATGGTTTAAAGTTTAAAGGTTGCTGAGAGCTCCGAGGGAAGATTTCGCCGCACCTTCACCTGTTCTGATTTGGACGAAGGTTTTGGGGTAAAATATGTAGAGACTACACAGGGATGCTATTGCTAACTGTTCAAATCTTCCAAAATGTCAACTCTTGATTACTAAACCCCCCGTGATAAATGGAATCCCGCGCGGGCCTCGGACCCGAAACCAAGTTTGAAAGGTGCTGGCCTCTTCCACCAGAGCCCCCCCTCAATCGGAAACAAAAACCTTCCCCCCCCCCACCCCTCGATTAATGGCGACCTTCTACCCAAAGCATTAGGGTTTGGGGGCAGGTTGGGGTCCAGGGTTTAGGGTGACTCCAGCACTGATCAACATTAAGCAAGCCTAAACATTAAACAGGGCTGGAGTGAAGAAATTCCAGAGGTGGCCAAGCAAGAAGTTTAGAATCAAAGGTTTCTGTAAAACATTCAGTTTTTCAAGCCTGCAAAGGTCTA